AAATTTCCCTTGCATAAATTGAATAGAGGGAAATTTAGCAAAAGACAAAAGAATCCTTTGTCTTCTAAATTTCCCTCATGTTATTCATGAGGGAAATTCGGGTTTGTAAACCCCTCGGAAGACAATGGAATCCGAGGTGATCATGGTATTATCGTAATTATGTCAGTGACATGAACAAATTTCCAGGCGCTTTTTAAGAGTTTGTTCAATATCCATATCCATTTTAGCTTGGAACAATTTTAACAATCGGTGTCTCCTATTGGGACACGATTAGTTTAAGCATATTCTTTCATTATGTCAGCGACTGTTTATTCATTTTGAGGTGCTATTGAATAGTTCAGCCTCGATGTTGTTGAATGAAACTTGCGATTCACAATTTTACAACTTATAACCGTTCAATAATCATATCCATTTACCTTGAAACCGTTACAAAAAAACATTTTCATTTAGCTTTTTCGAAGGGTGAACCGTGTGTAGTTTTAGAAGTATTTATGCTTGAATCCAATAGGTGCGCGCTGTTATATCGCAAGCTTTTTTTATTAGGCATTAATGTTCACAATGTATTGCCATTTTGAATGATTCTGCGCTGAATAAAACTTGTAATCCACAAATTTTACAAGTCGTAGCTGTCCATGATGGCACTGGATTGCTCACGTTCGATTGTATTGATGTGTTATTACTATATGTTTCTTTTACGTGATTAACTTTTATTGAACGCAACACTATACAATTGGTATTTGTAAACGTACTGCTTGCTTGTATGATTTAAATTTAATGTTTACAGTAAATCATTTGACAATTTCCAAATCCTATTAGTTTATCTGTGTCACAGATGACCGAACCGCAGCAATATCATCCAATACACCTTTTCAGTAGCACTTAGGCCTCGGTAGCAAGTTAATTATTCTTTTGAATTTGACAAATGAGACTATTCATATCAATGTTTTGAATAATCCAATTTCAAGTTCAAAGCGGATTGCTGCTGTTTTATTTTATCGTTGGCAGGTTAACTGCGCATTTCCGAGTCTTTGATAGTTGATCCGGATTTATTGTGTATACTATTTTTTCTCTATGGTGTATGCTATTTGCGCTGTCAATTATTCCTCCTTCCATTGCTATGATTGGATTTATATTCATACAATCTTCGTTTGATGAAGAACATATCAAATGTGCTTCGATCGTCTTATAACAAACAGTATTTTTACCACACTGTGTTAATTCTCGCGCGCTGATTGGCTGATTAAAGTGTGTCTTGATATTATCAAGTCTCGCGCCCACTCAGTTGAAAAAAGAATGATTGTCGCTTATTTTTAGACTAAAATGTGTTAAAAAAAGACTGCGTTCGGGGTTTCACTTGAGTTTTGAACATTGTAAGACGTCAAGAGTGTGTCAGTAAATGGATATACAACTCAAAACCGTGCGCAATTGTTGCACGTCTGATTATTAGTTGTGAACATTAGAGCTAACGCAGGAAAACCATGAAATAAAATCAAACTAAATACTAACAGAAAGAGGCTATTTAGAGACAAATTGTCAGTATCAATGAACCAGAACGCAATAAAGACGAATGGAAAATGGTCCATGTGGATTCATCTTCATTGTTTTCTGGTTTATCGATACAGACAAATTGTCTCTAAATAGCCGCTTTCTGTTAGTTTTTAGTTTGATTTTATTTCAGGGTTTTCCTGCGTTAGCTCTAATCCTTGGGCTGAAAGATGATACTAGCCCCTAAGTGCCTCTTGTAAATAACACAAATCAACCGAGATACTAAGGTACTGACGACCAGGAATGGTAAGATAGGTATTCAAGACCTGCTCCAGGTCCTAAAACCGCCCAAATTACGGCGATGTTACGGCCTGAAGTAGACTCTGTTCTAAAATGCCTTAGGAAGTACTCTCTGCGGTTTCAGTTGAACAGTTCATTCATAGTTATAAATTATGCATTCCTTAGTCGCTGTCTTTTGTTGCATGAAGTAAAATAAAGTAAACAAAAATACACATATTTTTAGAATATTCTCTCGTGATCGACAAAACAACTCCTTATTTGGCATCTCTATTATGCATCATTTGATAATTACCTCCGTACGTGTCAAGTAAACAAGGACGCATTACACACCAACTGTAAGGCATTTATACCAGCAAAGATGTTTTGTCTTTTAATATCTATCTTGCTAGGCCTCGGTTTAACAAGTATTGAAGGTAAGTGAACTATTAGACCAAACGCAGGAAAAAACATAAAATAAAACCAAACTTAATATTACTAAAATAGCGGATATTTAGAGACAATTTGTCAGTATCAATAAACCAGAACACAGATATATCCACATGAAACAGTTGTGTATAATGATAAATTTAACACCGTAAAAAAAAGTATGTGCAAGGTAGGCAAGGTACGAGAAATAAACAAAAAAAGCAAAGGAAGTGTTAGACAAAAGAACAATAAAGGTGTTAAAAATGAAACAAAGGATATAAAATTTATCTGAAAACAAAGCGCTCATTCAACCCATGGGGATTATAAGTGCCCAATAGGTGAATAAGCCGCATTCAGCAGGGAAATGTGGGGTTGATGAATTGAATTGAATAGCTGGTTATAAATTCAGCGGGCTATATATGAGTGACCAGAATCACTCATGTATAGCCCGCTGAATTTATAACCAAAAAACCAAAAACAATAAAGTTAGAAAGTGAATGGTTGGTAGGTTGAAATGGCGGGAAACAGGCTTATTAAGATCATTATGACGAATACTATAAAGATGTTCACGGATACGATTGCCAAGACGACGGCCAGTCTCGCCGACATACAATAAATTACAAATAGGCAACATTAGAGGTGGTGATTCTGAGTGACGAGTTAGGACCAGCAATGGAAGTGTGCGAGACAATGTACGGACAAGTGTTACAAATTTTACGTGAGCAACGAAAAAGTGCCTGGATCATTATTAGAATGAAGAACACCTTTGACTACAGTAGGAGAGAACGAAGGTTACGATCACGTTTATTAGAAAAAAGGGGTCGGTCGTTAAGGATGTGAGAAGTGTTAGTTTCAGAAGTGAGTAAGAAGTAATTATCGTCACTACACAAGCGACGGGGACGAAGAAATTGAGAGAAAGGAATAGCATTAAGAGTATGCTTAGGGTGAGAAGAAGAATAGAGAAGATAAGAGTGAGAATCAGTAGAAGTGATATCAATTTCATAGTCATCAAATTCGAACCATTTGATCTGGGACCATTTTGCAAGTACGTGATGTATTCATAACACTAAAAGCTAAGGTTGCTATTAACGAATGACACACTAAGCAGATAAGAAACTGAAAAATAGTAAGGGGACATTATAGAAAAAAAAGGAAAAGAAAAAGAAAAGAAAAAGAAAAAAGAGATTGAAATACATCATCAAGAAAAACCATGAAATAAAATCAAACTAAATACTAACAAATAGCGGCTATTTAGAGACAAATTGTCAGTATCAATGAACAAGAACGCAAAAAAGATGAATGAAAAATGGTCTCATGTGTATTCATCTTCATTGTGTTCTGGTTCATTGATACTGACAAATTGTCTCTAAATAGCCGCTATTTGTTAGTATTTAGTTTGATTAATTTTCACGGTTTTACTGCGTTTGCTCTATGATATCCAGGATAACTAAAGTATAATACTTGATATTTTTTAGTGGTCAAACTAGGAAAGCAACCATTGGTGATGCTCACAATTATCATGAAATATAATTGAAGGTCACCGCCAAATTGGATAAACAAATGAGAAACGATTTGTTATCTTCATCAAACATGATACAGCCCTTTGCAAAAATTATGAGAATTGTCGAAATATCTAAATATCATAATATCGAGTGCATGATGGGTAATCCCGAGCGAAAATTATGAGAATTGTCGAAATATCTAAATATCATAATATCGAGTGCATGATGTGTAATCCCGCGCGATGCCCATAGTCCCTTGTCTTTGTAGTTTAGTTGTTTTTTTTTTTTTTGGCGACAGACTTATCCGTAGTTCTGAACATTTTCTCGATGTCAACAATAAATTACTCTAGCAAACCCGCGTGTTCCTGACAATATATAGATATGGATATTATGATATTTAGATATTTAGACAATTCTCATAATTTTTGCAAAAAACTGTAAACATGGAATGCAGTTATAACATAATATGGATCAACAAGAAATTTGAACTAGCGTTACTTCAACATTTCATTGCCTTGTATTACTTTTAAAAGTATCTTTCTTCAATTTATTGACAACATGCATGCCCAATTGTCATAATTCTTCTTTTTTTCGTATTGCAGTAAACGCTATCCCTTGAGAAGCTACATTGAAGTCGCTGATCTTAATTACGAGTTTAAAGTGAGGGATTGTGGTGGATGGCAGCCATTGGAAGTTTTGATGAAAAATCGCTCAGCAGTCGTGAGATATTACTCAGATATATCTCACAGCTCAGAAGTTCTAAGGCACCACTACAAAAGTTACTACTGTAACTGGCACTCTCCCTGGTACTCATTATGTGGTATTGACAATATTCGCTTCTCTTTCCATGTCATTTTACAAAAACTGATAGGTCAGTACATTTAGTTTATCATTTAGGCTAGGCCATTAAAAAATCGAATGAAAAAAAAATAAAATAAATGTCTCCAATGTTTCTTTCTCCCCAAATTCTTGCTATATAAGTCGACATTGATGTTTTTTAATTTCTTTTTAAGGTCTGAATGTACAGAATTGGAGGCCTGATTTACAACAATCCAAACCTGGTGAAGTAACTGTTAATTGGGATCCTTTGACGTTGCCATCAAAGAGCTATGTTGTTGTGCCGTTGTATAACTCTACTGCGAAAGGGGAGCCATTCCTGTACATCATTGAACGTAGAAACAAAACTTCGCTAGCGGTGGAATACCTTGAACCAGCTACATCATACACGTTCAAAGTCTTTGCTTTCGATTCTACGAACACAGGGTCCTTGATCGAAAGCACTACATGGTCTCTTGCAATGAAAAATGGTACATGATAAGCTTGTTTATTCAAACATGTTTTTTTCCAATTTTTCACTCATTCATTTCTTCATCATTAAGTTAATTTGATTGATTTAGGACATAAGAAATAGCTTCCTAGCATCCCCGTCTCAATAACTCCAGTTGTCTGCTTCATCTTGGAAGGTAGCCATGAGCTTCTTCATACAATTTCGCCCATTTCTTATTCATCCATATTTCCAGTCCCTTCATTCATGATGTTTCTTTTGTCATTCTCTTGCTTGTTTCAAAAATTTAGCCAATTAATAGCGGAGCTCCCGCGCGGGCCGAAGGCCCGCGCGAGCGGAGCACCATACCTAAGAAAAAATGGTATACCATAGAGTCGATTTTCCATGGACCGACACAGGGTTCCCGCGCGTACGCACGTTTCCTTCCGTCCGTCCGTCCGTCCGTCCGTCCTTCCGTCCTGGATTCCGTGTACCACCACAGGAAACCCATACTCCGCTCGAAAAGGAAACAAAGCGCCAAGTATTTGTTGAAAAATCGAAATTTTTTCCTTAAACATTTATATTACATATTGATAATATTAGAACAATTAATAACAAGGAAAAAATCCACTGAAGAGCGAAATAACAGCACAGAAATATTCCCGCCAATTTTGTCATAACTTCGACGCGTCCGCACATCCGGGAAATCGATTTGCGAAGATGAAAAGCAATTTAGGGCCATCTTAAAAGTGATATTAGAAATAAGGATTTTACTTTGATATTTCGACAACAAAAAGAGATGATACTTTATTGGAAATACTTCAATAATATGGACCAAGTTCTTTTGTCGACTAAAAGTGTGGACATTTCGAAACCAAAACCATGCTAGCAGTTAGATTGAGAGAGATTAAAACAAAGAATCTACAGTCTTGAATGACTTAATAAATTGATGAAACCTATGCTTGAAACAAGTATGGCTCTGTTGAAGATGATCTTTGAACGATAATTTATCGGAAGTTCGATAATGAAGGTAAAATATATATTTTTGCATACAGTTTTCTGTGATATGTGAAGTTCGAGTAGTCCGGGTTCAAACATCGATTATTGAAACAATGTTGATTATTGTATTAAAGCTTGTGTAGACTACTTTTTGCCGAGAAGCTTTCAGTTTACTTTTAATTATAATTTTAAACTTCATCCAACGGAACAAAATCTACCGAAGTCAATATAATAGTACGAACTAAATTCTCGTAAACATACTCTTTATAATATTTGTTCGCATGTCAACAAAACTTTTGTAGCTCACATTCCCTAGAACAGAGCATCTATCTTTGAAATAGTAGTACTAGATAATTATTTTCAGCTTCTATATTGCTACTGGAGCTCCGCTATTAGGTGTTACCTAATTTTTATATTAACTTTCATATCCTAATTCCATTTTTTCCTCTCTCTCTCTCCCTCTCTTTGTATCGTACATATTATGCATATTATTATAAAGTTCCTCAATTATTATATGCAAGTTTTTATTGCCTATTGCAATTGTTCTCGTTTCATCAAGAGACAAAAACATTCAAAAAGCAACAACAAGATCAGAAAAGTATAAACTTGGTGTAGCATAATAAAGTTGTATGTTCGACAAATCAATCTCCTTGTTACTTTCAGACACTTTGAGACTTGTTGGTGGACAGGTATCCAACGAGGGAAGAGTGGAAGTATTCAAAAATGGTTCATGGAATAAGATATGCTTTTTTTCTTACCGTAACAATAGCAAGGATTATGTTATTTGTCGCTCTTTGAGTCTACCAAGTCCTCCTCATCCTATATATTCCCAAACATTTCAGGATACGTCATTTCCAGTGCATTTTCTAAAGAAAAAGTACCGTTGTAATGGAAATGAGACAGGTCTCGAGGAATGTGCAACAAGTATTGATACACAATCAATGTGTCAGCGGAATCCCCGTTATCAAGCTGAAGTTGTATGTGGTCACCCACCAGGTATATTCGTCAGCTTTCACTACTAAATTGTGATTTCGCATAAAGCACTTTTATATGACGATAAGAGAGGTTTAGCATGACCTTCACGGCAAACGAAAGAAACGATCACGTGACCTGCTATTTTGGAGTTTAACGTTGGAGTTTCAACGCGAGAATGGTTTATTTTCCAGTCTCCATAATCGTGAAAAGCCGCTCTTTCAAATGACTACCAAAAGCACAAGGTCAGGTATGAAATTCTTAGGTCATTGGTTCAGTTCTGCCGTTAGCCGTTAACGTGATGCTTAAACTCTCTAGAGAGAAATCACATGCTAACAAGCAGAACATGGGAAAGCAAATGCATTTATATTAAGAACCTTTTTTCTTTTGTAGTTCGCGCGCATTATCTGTGGAAATATGAAAATGGTCGAGACTAAATTAAACCTTGTATTCCCAAAATAAACATTTAATACAGTTTGGAGAAAATGTGAATTTTAAAGAAGACATGCTGTATTGCGGAGTCTCTGGCCATTGCAATATCCAAAAACAAGTCCTCTAGATCAAAAATCAAAGTTCACTTGATTTTATATCCAATGGTGCGTTGCTTTGTTTTATTCACGGCTTGTTAAAGAAAAGAAAAGAAAAGAAAAGAAGAGAAAAGAAAAAAAAACAATAATAATAAATAATATAATAAATATATTAGCTTCTTCTTTTTATAATGCATGTTATGCTGGTTGAATGAAAATGTGCAATTTGCTTGGGTTAGAGGAGTGTCATTTATCCTTAATAGTGGTGTTTCAAATTGCACAATTTTATTCAACCACTTTATAAACAATTAGTAGCATGTTTTGTACATGAATTTGGGATAAATACCACTACAAAACAAGCTATTACCTATACTAATATTATTATCTATTAGTCTTTTATCAAAATATCACTAAGATGACTGGTGTTATTACAAGTCCTGGATACCCATCATCCATGATGCAAGCCGATTATCGCTGGACATTCATGCCAAATTTGACTCATGGACATGTTGTTATATATTTTGAAAAGCTGTATTTAGGAAGATGGTGGCCTGATTATGGGTAAACTACCATGCATACAATGTAACATATGTCATTATACCAATTTGCCATGCCATGTACCTATACCATACCATTCCAATCATAAGCTAAAGCACGTCGTAATAGCCGACTTGCGAATTAAGACGAGGCGCCGTGCTAAAGACAATAGATTTTTCACAAAAAAGCACGGCGCCTCGTCTTGATTCCTTTGTATGTGACTATTGATGCGTAATTCGCAAGTCGGCTATTCATAACATAATAAGAATATACAACGCACTCTCCGAGATGCTTATGCCCAGTGCACATCATTTTCCAAATCGTCCCAATACTCCAGTTTCGAGATTTTTCTTGTTCAACCTCAACCTCGAAAGTATGTAATACAATTCTTTTATTGAGCAGAGATCCTATTGTAAGGCAAAAATATGTGTACAAAGAAGACAATAACATTTTATGCTTGATTGAAGCTAATCTTGCACAAAAGAAAACTGGAGTACTGTCGCTGTTGTTGTCCCGTTACAACTAGAGCAATTCAATTTGAAAACATGGTTGTGACATCGACATTTTTCAAAACATTAAGTTTTATTATACATATTATATAGCTTTTAGATAGTACGCGCACTCTGATGTAAGTTGTGCGTGATTACACTTCTGACATATTGTGATTTTATGCCTCATATTGTTTCTTCAGTTACAGTAGAGTTTACATCCAGGAATCACTCCCAGACAAAGTGAATCGCAATTGCGTATATCGCAGACTTGTGACAGTGAAAAGCTTACCAGTCCAACTTCAGTTCTATTCCTCGTCTTCCACTCGTCGATTAATTACTAAGCACAATACACAGGGGATGCGAGCAAGATTCTTTACTTACAGTGAGCCAGGTAAAGGAAAAATCATTGTATACTTTCACTAAGATACACTAAAAATACAAAGCAAAGCAAAGCAAAGCAAAGCAAAGCAAAGCAAAGCAAAGCAAATTATTATGAATTTTAATACCAGCTAAATTGCATAAATTAAATAATGTTCATTTCCGGCTTTGTTACAGTACCGACGCTAACAAATTGGGTGATCTCACTATCAAGCCACAGCTATAAGAGCATCACTGCTAACTGGACACAGGTACCTGTTACAGGCTACGATGTTTTGGGATTCTTGATATCCTGTAACTCAACACAAGATTGGGTTAACAAATCATCTCACGAATTCGGAGAAAGCAATTCAACATCTGCGACTTTAAGTGGGCTGATTGGGTACACTAACTATGACGTCCACGTCTTGGCCTTGTTAAGAAAAGGGAGGAACGGTACCATTGCGGCATACCGCAGCTCAGAGACGTCTATAACAACTCCAGAATCATGTACGCTCCAGTATAATACGTAACAAACCAATTTTGCATTACTTGCTAATATTTTTGTCATACTTTTATTATCTATTTCTTAAATGCTTTGTTTTTATTTGTTTGTTTGTTTTATCATTTATTTGTTATTTATTGGCTTTACTTTTTAGCTCCAATTTGGGGACCTCAAGGACTTTATTTCACTAATATCACATCAAATACAGCAGTAATTGGATGGAAGGAAATTCCCAGAAAATATACCCATGGTGAAGTTCTTGGGTATACTATACTACTATATAATTGTTCCACTCCCTATCATCAAAAACAAATAGTAGTCTATGATACATCAGTGGTTTTAACAGATCTTTCCCCTGCGATCCAATATTGTGTGGAGATTCGAGGCTACACTTCAGCTGGAGCAGGACCATCTACACGCCGTTCCTTTTCAACAAGTAAGATTTTTTTGTCAGTTAATCAAAGCCTTTATATATATCTTTATATAGATATCCATTCCTGGGATATCCTTGGGCATTGCTGAGCCTGCAGTGATATATAATTTTTGTTCACGCCAAAGACAATCATTCTATCATTACAAGCACAACTTCTGTCTCGCTTTGATGCAAAGGCTCGGCTACCTTTATAGATGGCGTATGGAACTGTAAAATGAAGTATTTCCATTTAACAACAAGAATTGCAATCACAATACCGAATGCGCACTGTCTTTACGAAATCGGTACATTTTTAACTTTAAAAGGTTTGTAACTTTCTCAGAATGTGTACAGTGTTTTTATTGTGTTTTAAAATTGCAATGAACTGCTTTTGAAATTTGGATAGTTCTATTGAAAAGAACACGGGAAAACGGTAATTTTTTTCAGTTCTCAATTTTACCTTTCCAAGCGTTCTCTTAAAAGGCATGTGTAGGCCAGGTTTACATATAATTTTTAAACGTGGAAAATATTGGAAATGCTTCGATAAAAACACCTGCAAACATAAGACACATTGCAAAATATTTGATCATATTCATCATAGTGTGTGTATCCGTTCAACTAGATCTCTTTAAGTAATGGTCCGAGTAAGAAGCAGGCAAGCAAACGGCAATGGAATGCATGAAGGTGCTAATTGTGTATTGTATAATCCATCCATCTCATTGGTTAAAAGATTCAAATCTGACATCATTTCAAAAGTAATCTCATTTTTTAATATTTTATTTAATATCTGATTCCAACCTCATAAAAGCTTTCCTTAGCTTTAATATTAATAGCAATTCTATGTGGGGAACATAGAAAATTAGAAGCAGCTTTTGATATTTGTTTTGAGTGCTTATGAAAAGAAACTTTGTGTCAAAACAGAGTTGATATATAATCAGTGTGAAGACCAAGACATTCGTATGTGGGGAAGTTGCAATTACCGCAGAACAATAGAAAGTTGCCTGCTTTTTGCGCGCATTGTTACTTAATCAACAAATCAGTCTTATTAAATACCCTTAGCGGTCCCTTGAGAGGGAACATAGCACTTTTTAAAACAATACGGTTATATAAGAGTTACATCACCTTCATTGGTATCAACAAGGGAGCACGGCAAAATGTTGTTTATTACCTTTTTAATCCGTTAATACCATCGATTCTTTTGCTATAAAATAACAGCCATTTTTCTTTGTAATATGGTTTTCCGCTGACCCTTAGGAATGCTGGCGAGCCCCGAAGGGGCGAGCTAAATAATCCCGTGGAGTGAAACCGTTGAGATCCAGGCGTTAGTTTAAAGTGTGATGCTTGTAGCTAACTGCTATAAACACGGTGCACATCAACATCTTGGGATAGTTATCTGAAGAAATTCTTCGTACCAATGAACAAACATGAATTACATAACAAAGAGTGATTATAACTTTACCTTCATGTAATTCATTCTTTTGTCTTCGACTTGAGCTTTTGAATAACAATAAAACGATCTATGAACGGCCGATTGATTTCTGTAGAAATCTAAGGGGAACTACTATCTTTGTTCTTTCTCGTTTTAGAATTATTTCAAGATTCTTTATATCTGAAGGAAATGTTCTTTCTGTCGATGAAGCCTTCGAGCAGCTACAGCTACACGGTTTCCAAAAGCTTCTTTGAGTTTCTTGATCGTTGACCGAAGGAAAAAGGATTTTCCACTACCAGATTCTCCAGAAATATAAACACTGTAAACATTTTCCACTTTTCTCTCACTTGAACTAAGCATTTCTTGTTGATCGATCTGAATCTGTGATAAAATGCGCGAAAATGTAACCTCCCGGCATTTGGCCATGACCTGGATCCGCAGTCGAACTGTTTCTAAGGAAACTGCTACTAGCATCAGGAGAAGACACCCCCACAAAATCTCAATTGTGATTGGTTGATTGTCAACGGTTTCACTCAACGGGATTATTTAGCTCGCCCCTTCGGGGCTCGCCAGCATTCCTAAGGGTCAGCGGAAAACCATATTACAAATAAAAATGGCTGTTATTTCATAGCAAAAGAATCGATCGTATTAACGGATTAAAAAGGTAATAAACAACATTTTGCCGTGCTCCCTTGGTATCAAGGGACAGCAAGCACACTAATCCATCTAAATAATTTACTACAATAGTCATTGTCTGAATTTTGAATCTTAGCTGATAATTTAATTTCATATATTTTAAGAAGGCATATCTGTCGAGGAGAAACCAACCACTGGACCTCCACCCAAGCCACCAACACCCTCCAAAGAAGAGCTTCGTAATTCGGTCAAGGTTACAATTAAAGAACTCAATATTTTTGAGGTAGAAAAGGTCCAGTTCAGCTCCTTTTACAACTGCAAGTTGCGACAATTTCACCGTTCTTCTTCTGAAATTGCTTTTCAACATAATAATTATTATCCTTACCAAAATAAGCGAATACAGCTGTAGATTATATATATATATTTTTTACTTTTTTATATTCATTTGGCTGTACTGTGTTGCTATTTTTCAATATTGTAACATGGCTCTTCTTTTTGTACGGTTTTTAGTGGAATCAGCAGCTCGACCTTAAGTTTAAAAGGAGTGTAGCCCATGAAGTGACTGCATTCTGTGTGAAGAATAGCATTTGTCTTCCACCGAAAGGACGTAAAAGGTAACTTGATGAAGAGTGTATGTAGTGAACAGAGATCAACTTTCTTTAATTTGTGAGCAAACTTAGAAACGTGCACAAATTTGGCAGTAAGTTAATCAATGTTTTCATGGTAGATGGTTATATCAATTTAAAAGCACTTTTGTCCTACATTAAAAACATATTGACTTGTTAGGATGTCATCACAAAGGCTAATAATGTAACTTATTTACTGCTCTTAATGAAATAAGATAATTAGAACAACGCTAATAAATTCTTCGTTTTCACTATACGTCACAACGGACATCTTAAAGGACCTTCAGCAAGAATTTCTCATTAATTTATTGTTCATTCCTTCAACATGGCGCGCCGATATTTTATCTCTTAAATCTCATGGGAATGGTTGAAAACTATCCAATACCCTAAAGCCTTTCCTCGAAGTAGTTGCGCACTAATTTTACATAACAATGCATGTGAAATACTGTAGTAAACACCCAAAAAATCTAAACTGCATAACTATAAGCCTAAATAAGGGGCCATTTTGCATGACCATGCGCGAGCAGCTGTATTGTCGCATTGTTACTTGAAGGCTCACAACAGGCTACCCGCTCACTCATTTGTTACACGACGGCGAAAAGTTATCGTGCATTCCTTTATTTCTCTATATTTTCGGTTCCATCGTTATTTGCAAGCGTAATACACCTTTTGCCGTTCATTAACCGCGAAGGGACTTTCAATCAAGCGAAACTGCATTGTCTTTAGCGCGAACGAACGTTCATTAACGCTTAGGGAGTTTCAAGAGCGTGAAGGGAGAATCATTAACATATTTAGCATAGACATGGACAATCATGCATAACTGGGCGCAGATTCATTAACGTTTTCAAACCTTCATTAGCCCATTATGTGCATTCAATAAACTACAACAAACATACAATACCAAAATACGGACATTTAATTTCGTCATAGTTTTTGCAGTCAAATTTCAGCATGAAATATGACTCGTTACAGCTACTACGACTTGTTTAAAGTTGGAATGCAATGCCTCCGCGTCGACATCGAATTTCGAGCGAAGTGAAAGAGCGTCTTGTAAGAGCGTATGAGGACCCGGCCGAGGATTATCTAGCGGTTGCCGCTACATTGGGGGTTAATAGTTCTACCGCAACCATATGCAAACTTATTTACCAAGATGCTTAAATAGAGAGCATATTCAAGGATGAAGATAATTTTTGTATGTAAAATATCACACTTATTAAACACTCTTTAAATCCTAGAAATAAATACTATGACGAAATTAAATGTCCGTATTTTGGTATTGTATGTTTGTTGTAGTTTATTGAATGCACATAATGGGCTAATGAAGGTTTGAAAACGTTAATGAATCTGCGCCCAGTTATGCATGATTGTCCATGTCTATGCTAAATATGTTAATGATTCTCCCTTCACGCTCTTGAAACTCCCTAAGCGTTAATGAACGTTCGTTCGCGCTAAAGACAATGCAGTTTCGCTTGATTGAAAGT